CAAGGATAGTCCCCGAGCTTCGGGGATTGTCCTATGAAGGAAAAAAAGGGTTTAGGGAAAAACGGGTGACGACATTTGGGGGCCCGGAGGGGCAGGGGAGACATGATTTAAAGACATATAAAATACTGCGCGGAAAAGACGAGGTGGACAAAGCGGGGGTGTTCCAGAGATGGGACACAGACACAAAAAGGTTTACAATTGGAAGTTGAAGGGGCTCAGATGAATCAAAAGGGATGTTTGGAAGTTTTTTTTAGTTTATTTGGTAGTTTAGGTGGAATGCTAGGGAAAATGATTTTTGGTGGAGGCAGGAAACCCTACATAGTTTTAAGGCGAGGTATGGGTAGTCTGGGGGCAGGGAGGGGGAAAAGGGACCCCAGGTTTGCCCAAACAGCGAAAAGGGGGGGCCAGGAGCTGTGGGCTCGTCCCCCGCACCCACAAAAAGGGGAGTAAAATAGGGTGGGACACAACCCCACACACACACACACACACACACCCCAAACAAGGGCCCCCTCAAAATTTGAGCGAAGTTTTCTGGGCCCTGGGCGGGCCCTTTAATCCCCAGGGGATTGACTGGGGAAACCGGAGCCCCATGGGGGCCCCAAATGGAGAGCCAAGGGTGATGGTTTTGGGGGCTGGCAAATCTCTGCCCAAATGTTAGGGATATACCGAGAGAGAGGGGAGGATGAACCAGCAAGGGCTGGGGCCCCGTGGTTTTACCCCGAGTAGCTTTAGACATTGAGCACACACATATGAAAGGCCCCTTCCGCATTGTGGGCCACGTAGTTATGAGCCCTTTAATACAACGTGGAGCTAAAAAATGGGGGGGAGGGTAAAAAGGGTAGGGAAAGGGGAAAAACAAAATTTTAAAAAGGGGGGTTTTACACCCGGGGAAAGAGGACCTTCCTGCCCGGGGTTCAGTGGGAAAAAGGGGTGGTTTTTAAAAAAGTAAACGGGAAAAGATGGACTTTGTAAAAAAAAAAATGCAAGGAAACAGGGGGGAAAAAATTTGGGTTTCCCAAGGGTAACAGAAAATGGGAAAAGGGCAGAAGAGCCCCTTTGGGTTTTCCCCAAAGGGTGCCCCGGGAGGCAAAAAAATAATTTTCTCTAGGGGAATGGAAAAAAATTTCAGAAGGCCAAATGGACTCATGAGAATAAAAAGATTAGTCGACAAAACCAGAAGGTATGCACAGATAAGAAGGGGGGCGCGCGGCAGTATGAAAATGAAAATAGCATCGAAAGTCAAAATTTGACCCCAAACTATTACAGCCACATAAGGAGGAAGACAACGTCAAGGACCAGGTAATCAGGCTGAGGGAAAAAAGGTGGGGAAACTCACAAGGGAAAAGACCCGGAGGTATGTGAGGGGGCTTTAACATGAGATTTAGGAATTTTTTACGTGGAAGGCTGAAGGGACAAGGGGGAAAATGAAACGTGGGGGGTACAGCAAAAAAGGGATTTTACCAACAAAGTGTTGGGGTGATTTCACACAATGAGGGGAGGTGGGAAAAACTCCTAAGCGACCCTTTTTTAATTCAAAGGGGGGTTTGGGCCGGACAACCCTTTTCTCCGTGGGTTTCCCTTTGAGAAGGAGCAGGGACACTACGTGTTTTCCACTAACCCCAAAAACTTCAAACTTTCCCTTTAAACTGGGCATCCCAAATTTAAAGGGAGGGAAGAAGGCCCAAAAGTTTGTTTCCCCCTCTTTAAGAAGGGAGACAGATATGAAAAACACTAAATTATTGACCCGTGTCACTGCATGGATAGTATGCAGTTTGGAAAAAAATTATGAGGAGGAAAAGTGGTGAAGCACCTGGAGCGGAAAAAGATTATTTAAAAGACAACCCGACGGATTCATGGAAGGCAAAAAACCCGTGTCCAAAACCTACTAGGTTTTTTCGAAAGGGTAACTGAAGTAAGAAATGAGAGAGAGGGGTGGGTTGTTTGGGATTTTTTGGGCTGCAAGTAGGCCTTCGACCCCAGTTCCTCCCCAAGAGATTTTACAGGGAAACTAGAGGAAAAAGGCACGTATAAAGGAAGGGGACTGCAATGGATAAGGAAAAAAATTTCCTAGGGAGGGAGGCAAAGCGATTTATGGTCCGTGAAAGAGGTATCACAGTGGGCGCCGTGCGAGCGGGATCCCACAGGGGTCAATCCTGGTAAACCCGTGCTTTTCTTGGTATATGGGGAACGAACCCGACGGAAGGGTTTAAATCAGAAAATTTCCCCCGTTTTGCAGTTTACGTGAATTTAAAAAAGGGAATTTTTAAAACGACCCAGACCAGACAGGTTACAAAGGGGACCTGGAAAATGCTTTGGGTGTGTGGTCCCGAAATGGGGTCCCAGAATTTAACCCCGCCAAAAAGCAAAAGTCATGAAGACGGAGGAGGGAAAAAAAGATCGCCCGACAAGTATAGGGTAGGTGGCCAAAGGCTGCAAACCCCCACTCAATGAGAAAGACCTAGGAGTAAAGTATAATACCCAGTAAAAATTTGCCAGAAGCAACATTAACCCGATAACTGCTGCGGCATATGGGCGCTTGGAACCCGAGGAAAAGCGTTTTCCCGGTTTCCCCAGTAAAGGGAAACCCTTCAAGGGCTTTTTACACTGTTACGTCAGGCCCCTACTGGAGTACGCAGCACCAGTTTGGAAACCCCACCCGGTTTAAAAAAACGTCAAGAAATTAGAGACAAAGGTTTGCAACAAGGCTAGTTCCAAAAAGCTAAAGGGGAAATTTTCCCATGAAAAAAGGTTAAGGGAAATTTGGGTTTTGACAAACCCCTGGGGGGGACAGGAGGGGGGCCGGGGGGGACATAAAAACGACATACAAAAAAAATTTGGGGGAATAGAAAAAGGTGGACAGACGAGACAGGTTCTTCCGGATGGGATTAAAGAAACAAGGGGGGTTTACCCAAATTTGGGAAAAGGGAAAACTCAGGATGGTCAAAGGGGTGTTAGGAAATATTTCTTCAGTCTAGGTTGTTAGGAAGTGGGGGAAAGTTAGCAAGCGATGTAGTGGGGCAGGGGAAATCTACAAGGGTTTTTAAAACGAGGTATGATAAAGCTATGGAGCAGGGGGGAGAGGAGGGGGCCTAGTACGGTCGGGTTTAAGAGGGGGGGGCCCGGGGGCTGGGTTCCCCGACCCCTGCAAACCCCAATTAGGTGAGTTTCAATTAGGTGAGTACCCCCCCACACACACCACACACACACACACCACACACACACACCACACTCACACACAACACACAACACTTCTTTAAAAAAGGGGACAGACATGAAGCACTTTTTAATACAGAAACCCGTGTCACTGACAGTACAATTTATGCAAAATCGTGGAAAAAAATTGTCAGGAGGGAAATGGTGGAACACCTAGAAAAAGGGAAAGATCTCATCACCCAAAAGGGCCCAAATGGTTTCAGAGATGGGAAAAACCTGTGTCCAAAACCTTTCTGGGTTCATGACATGGTGACAGCAGTAAGACAAGAGGAGAGGGGGTGGGTGGGATTGCATTTTCTTGGGGCTGCAAGAAGGTTTTGACAAAGTTTCCACAAAGAGATTAGTGCAAAAAAAATGGAGGGACCAAGCAGGGGGTAACAGGGGAAAGGCCCCTGCAATGGATCAGGGAATTTCTTGTCAGGAAGACAGCAGCGAGTAATGGTACGTGGCGAGGTGTCAGAGTGGGCACCTGTGACCACGGGGTCCCACAGGGGTCAGTCCTAGGACCAGTGCTGTTTCTGGTATTTGTGAACGACATGACGGAAGGAATAAACTCCGAGGTGTCCCTGTTTGCAGATGACGTGAAGTTGATGAGAAGAGTTCATTCGATAGAAGACCAGGCAGAACTACAAAGGGATCTGGACAGGCTGCAGACCTGGTCCAGCAACTGGCTCCTGGAGTTCAATCCCACCAAGTGCAAAGTCATGAGGATTGGGGACGGGCAAAGAAGACCGCAGACGGAGTACAGTCTAGGGGGCCAGAGACTACAAACCTCACTCAAGGAGACACTACCAGAGAGAGAGGAGAGGATGAACCAGCAAGACTGGACCTTGTATTCACCTTGAGTAGTTCTGACATCGAGGATATCATGTATGAAAGGCCCGTGGGAGCTAGTGATCATGTGGTTCTGTGCTTCGACTACATAGTTGAGCTCCAAGTGGAGAGAGCAGCAGGAATAGGGTGGGAAAAACCAAACTACAAAAGGGGGAACTACTCAGGCTTGAGGAACTTCTTTCAAGACATTCAGTAGGAGAGGGAACTGACAGGAAAACCAGTACAAGAAATGATGGACTATATGGCAACAAAATGCAAGGAGGCAGAGGAGAGGTTTGTTCCCAAGGGAAACAGAAATAATGGGAAGAACAGAACGAGTCCTTGGTTCACCCAAAGGTGTAGAGAGGCAAAAACTAGGTGTACTAGAGAATGGAAAAGGTACAGAAGACAGAGAACTCAGGAAATAAAGAGATTAGCCGAAGAGCCAGAAACGAATATGCACAGATAAGAAGGGAGGCTCAGCGGCAATATGAAAATGACATAGCATCGAAAGTCAAGACTGACCCGAAGCTGTTGTACAGCCACATCAGGAGGAAAAACAACAGTCAAGGACCAGGTAATCAGACTGAGGAAGGGTGATGGGGAATTCACAAGAAACGACTGGGAGGTATGTCAGGAGCTCAACACAAGATTTAAAGAAGTATTTACAGTGGAAACCAGTAGGACTCCAGGAAATCAGAGCAGGGGGGTGCACCAGCAAGTGCTGGATGAGGTACATATAACCAAGGAGGAGGTGAAGAAGCTGCTATGCGAACTTGACACCTCAAAGGCGGTGGGACCAGACAACATCTCTCCGTGGGTCCTTAAAGAGGGAGCAGAGACATTGAGTGTACCATTAACTAAGATCTTCAACACATCATTTGAAACTGGGCAACTCCCTGAGGTATGGAAGATGGCAAATGTAGTCCCAATTTTTAAAAAGGGAGATAGACATGAGGCACTAAACTACAGACCTGTATCATTAACGTGTATAGTATGCAAGGTCATGGAGAAGTTCATCAGGAGGAGAGTGGTGGGGCAC